CTAAAAGGAGCTCCGACTCTCTTCTTTTCTTGCCCGTGTATACCGGCGACGAGAAAAAGTTGTAGTCGAGAGTATACGCGCTGCGTTTTTTTTCTGTCATTTTTTTTATTTTTCTCGACGCGCTTTTCTATCCCCCTTCTCTGCTGCTTTTTTGCGACATTAGAAAGCCTAACCGAGAAAGTATCGGTTATCCGTTTTCCGTTAAGATTCGACAAATTGCGTAAGGGAGACACGGATTTTTCACGTCGACGTTTTCATAAGTGAATCATTACTCGAGCCGCTTGCAGCGAAAGCAGCTGAATAAATTATAATTAATGAATCTGCGTAGAGAGGTAAAAAAAAATCGGTATGACCATTCACATTGTAATGCTTGCTTCTTTATTGTGCTGTGGCATTTTAGAAATCATAATGTGCATATAATTATCCTGCAAGAATGCAATAAGCGTACAACCAATTGTAATAATCGCGTAATTGCTCGAGTGCGTGATGCATTAATGAACTTTTTTGTATGTCAGCTAATGCGTTTTTAATATCGTCACGGTGTGTCCGAAAGTCGGTTCTAAAGGTGAAATACTATCCTCAATTAAAATTCTGCCGCAAGAACACTCTATCCGTAATTAAGACCATTCTGAATGAGCAGTATATTCTAAATCTCAAACACGATTTCCTTATCATTTTATTTTAAACGCATAGTGCCTTTTGGCTGTCTCCTGAGATTTATGAAAATAATGTTAATTTTAAGCACTATGGTTTCGTGAATAAAATCTGGCATGGTTTATTATAAGAGAATTTATTTGAAACTAGATAAATAAACCACAAAAAGGTCATTCAACTTTTCGTTCATTTTTCATGCACGAGCGTATGGTGCAATTGATTTGAATGATACGCATGTACTAAACAAGAGTTTGAAACGTTGATTGCGACGAAAATAAATTTGATCACAAAAAAATTACATTTCTCACTTTACCTGCTATGATCATGAATAAGATTTTTTCAAAAATTTGAAACGTAGAAATTAGAATCATAATTAAGAATGGTAAAGCCACATTCGAGCGAGGAGAAATACAATCAGGGAATCGGAAAGATCAGAAATCTTTTAAGGAGCTTAGAGAAGACGTTAAATTCACTTAATATTCAACGGTAATCCGCAAGCAAGGACAAGCAACCAGGAGTGAGCTGAAAATAGCAACTTTATCCATTGTAACACACGCAACGCAACGAATCTTTGTCAGTAATTCAACTTACTTCAGCATGTAAATTCAATGAAATTGATGGTAAGAGTTTTCCACGTTTAAATTGTGTTAACTGTTGTATACTTGTGTAGTTTCTTTAGTGCGGTCATTTAATATTCTGAATCGGTAATGATACGAGCAATTCAATGAAATTACAAATGCTGTCCTTGCAATTGTTGAATAGGCAAAGTTTTGCATAATTTCGAAAAAGCCTCCTTACACGTATCTCTCACATTTAAAGTGAAAAAAGAAAGCAATAACTGTGACTATGCGCGAGTCCGCGAAAGGACAACTAAAAACATCTGTTATACAGTATTTCCTAACTATCGGAGAGAGAGAGAGAGCAATCTATTACAAAACCGTCATAGCTACGCTCGAATACCTCGATTTCCATAACAATGACGAGATTATACACGCAACGCGGCTTCTGCAATGATAATCTCGGTATCGATCGACGCTATTATGTCAGGGGGGGGGGGGGGATCCATTGATTGATTAAAACGAATCTTTCTCTTTCTCTCTCTTGAATGGTCTGTTGCCCAGCGAGCGCTACTTTATGCGACCTTTGTTTATTGACGCACTATTTATACGTCGACTGCGCACGTTTTCGCAACGGAACTTCCGTTTGGAATCGTCTTTTATAAATGCGCGAGATGTATTTGAAGATGATCGGTCGATAGATCATGTACGACTACGTTGCACAACAATTGGCCGACGTCGCGGAAATGTGCGACGGTTTTCTTCGGCAACCCAAGCGTCCGCAGCGCGTACCGCGAACGCAGTTAACGAAAATAATGGGTCGTGCAAAAGCGCAAACTCTCTTGTGTACACAGGCTTGTGTACACTGACCAAACAAATATTGTTAATAGCAAGTTACGTAAATCTACGGTCGAGCAAGAACGTCAGCGTAAAAGCTCGCGCGTGGAATTTCGCGGCGGGGCTGAGCGCGCATTCTAAACCGTGCAATTACAATCTCGGCTTATCGGTAAAAAGCGTTTCCTGCATTGACGGATAACTTTTACTCCGCGAGCTAGTTTTTCCTGGTTGACAGAGCGGCCCGATCGAGTGCTACGACTATCGCGTTACGGCGAGCGCCGCCGCGTCACGGTATCGTCCGAAAACAAGCGCATCTCCCTTTTGCCTTTGTTTTCAAAGCTGCAGCCGGTCGTGACGAAAGCAAAAGCTTGCATCGCGCCGCGATTACGGGAAACGACGGATTTCAGCAATTAACTTTTACGATTGCGAGATTCATCTTCTTTGACTTTCTACCGCCGAGAGATCCTACGCGCGGAGCCATCGTGGCAAATGATACGAGCGAGAGATGACTGAACAATGCCCGAGGCTGCTTTATTACACCTACGTTCCGCGCTTGTCGAAAAACAACAAGCCGCTCCGTGGCTGTGCGTTTGAGGTCATCCGGTGGTAGCTGGCGTTTGCGAAATCCGTGAAATTGCCGCGTGTTTTAATTGCGGAGCCATTATAGATGAATCCAGCGCGACCGAGAGAACACATCTGCTGGCGCGCGGGGATTGAGATATTTGCCTTTCGAAATCCCCCGACCACGGGCGAGCCTATAAATTGGCCATTGCGCAATTTTCATATGGGAGCGCTGTTTATAATGCGTATAAATCGCACGAACGGCCCGTCCGCGCGATGGCGAAGAGCCGTACGAAGCAGACGAAAATTAAAGGCGCTCTCGCCGTCGCGTCTAACAGTTCTGGAATCCGCGCGGACTCGCGCAATTATCCCATCGCTCTAAGGCAACGTGGAACACGTTAAGGGCATTGGAAGGCGAATGCTAATAATTTAGAAGGCCTGCGCGAGCGCGGACGGCGCCCACGCTCGCGCCAGGCAGTTTTCGCTCGCTCTCTGCCCTGCCCGACGCGGATTCCTGCGATTCCTGCGCCAGCCGAGACACGGGCGTGCGAGCGCCTTTGTTATCGGCGCGTCGTCGCCGCCGCTCGAGACTGATCGCGCGAGGTATGCGCTTCGCGAGCGTGCGTATTGTTCTCCACGCGCGGCTTCGCAAGGAGAAAAAAAAAGTGGACCGCGAGCTGTCGGGCTCGTCGATTCCTTTTCACCGCGCGCGATCCCGCCTGCGGGAGCCGATGAGTGTGTGTGTGTGTGTGTGTGAAACGAATTCATTGTTCGAAATCGAATCGCAGGAATTTCACGGCTAGCTCCGTGCTGTGCTCGAGTCGGTGAACGGTAAAGACACGTGTTTTTGATCTGCCTAGTTTCTCGGCTGATTCGACTGGCAAAGCTGCGCGGTGTCCAAATACCTTGCCGAAAACGCCAGCGATTCAAGGAAAGATCGTGAAAAAGCGCGAGCCGACGAAAGTGCGGAGCGAGCAACTGATTTGGATCCGGTTACCGAATAATACAAGACTTCGATCGCAACAAGTAGATACGGCGTATGAAGCGAACGCCGGGAACTTTGGAATTTCTCGAGCGTACAATCGCGCCTTTTTCCGCATGCGTGCCTTCGCGCGCGCACCGCGCTGCTGAAAGCACTTTGAACTCGTTATTTTCTCTCTCTTTTCATCACTTTCGTAATGTACCACCCGAGAGCAGAGAGAAGCAAAAAAGCATCTTAATTGGATGCTAACGAGATGGAGCGCGCCCTGGCTCGCAATTGTCAACGCGGTTTTTGCGGCGCCTTTTACGAGCCACTTTTCAATCTCCTACGCCGAGCTACGCTTTTCTCGTTGATTTACGCATGGGGCTTGATATTCGTCTGGCTTTCCGTGCGCCAAGAAACCCTTCATTTTCCGTATCGTTATTATTTTATTTCAACTCGTTTGCATAGAAACGTGAATTTTATGAAGATAATGCAAATCGCCTGGCTGACGAAATGTTACCGCGGCTCTCGCTCTTTCCGTCTTCGTCGTAATAGGCAGCGCAACCGAATGCCGATTTTCATTGCCCGTAATATACATTGTAATTTTATCGACAGCTCTATAAACGCGCGGGGTCTTTACAAACGCAGCCCGACGATAAGCATCCGAAATCATTGGCGACTGATGAAACAATGCGTCGATCGTCGGTGACCGATACTCCCGTATCGCCGTTCGCGAAAGCAATGGTCGGCGAAGTGCTCCGTCACTACTGCAGCATCCTCCTCTGGTGAGGTAATTTTGAAAGGCGCTCTCGCGCGCGCCAAGCTGTCATTACGATTGGGAAATGCCTTAATAGCATCCCAGCCATACTGTTCTTCGGCCTTTTTAACTGCGCATTCCGCGTTCGCCGAGGTGCAATCCCACGTCTTATTCTTATCCTCGTGCTCGGCTTCTTTCCCTCTCGCTTGCGTCTATAAATCTTCGGAAATTGTTTTGTGCGCGTAAAGCTACGATTTAATGTTGCTTTTTTTGAAGGCTTATTAGCCTGCTCTTATTTGTTGCTCCTATTAGCGCGCGCTACGTGTATGCTACCTATAAAATGTGCACGCTTTCGGTCACGTGACAATCCTTTGCGCAAAATACAATTGATAGCTGACGAATTCATCTTAGTTATTCGAAAATACGCGGTCATTTTCATTTACAAATAACTAGTTATTCAAAAATATATTTTCAATTCCATTACTCTTTTTACATAAAGTAACTCGCACGCGTGTAGCTATGCAATCCAATGTCACGCTGAAAGATTGCAAGAAATACAAAACTGACAAATGTATAACACTACAGCTATTTTTTGAGCAAACGCAAGCAATCCATTTTTTTATAAAACTGTTCAGACTGTACAAGGTAAAACGATAAAAACAAAAGAGCATCAATTATCAAACCTTTTTTATTATGATACAATCGTTAGTTAAGGCCACGCACATCAAATATGTTCAGTATGGAAGTCACAGTTATACAGTTTGAACATCATTACACATAAAACGTAATAAACAAAAAAAATATGCAAAGGACACTTAAAAAAAATCACCTAAAATATCTAACAACAACGCATCATCGTGTTCATCGACTAATGCTTTGTGCACCTCTCGTTTCGTTTTGCAAAGTTAAAAAATAATAGTCTTAACAAAAAATTAGTCTTTTATACAATACACGAGATTGTTCCGCCCACCAGTCATTTAACACACGCAACATTATATTTCAATTGCGATTCGTAAACTTTTACATTAATACAGTCGTTAAGGGAAAAAAATTGTACGTTACTATAATGATATACTGCTATTAAAAAAAAAGAAGTAGAGGGAGGAGGGAATGATAATGCTCAAACGCTTGTTTACGAATGATGAAAAGAAAACAGATTGCTATAAAATTATTATACAGTCGTTGCGTATAAAAAACAAACAAACAAATAAACGAACAAACGCACATCTATTTGAGAACACAATTATGCATCGGATAACAGTGTCAATTAGAAAAACGATCACTAGTTCACTCGGAAGTTGTCATGACATCTCTTGCCGAAGCATAAGGTATAAACTGATTTTCGTTCAAGCACACACGCAAACGCACGAAAGGCGGACTCAGTAGGGATGCAACGCCGCCAGCCCAAGCCTCGCCGGTTCGGCGTAACTGTGTCGATATCTGGCAGGCGTGAGGTTAGCGCCGATCTCAAGGGCCGGTCGCGCGTTTTCACGATCGAGTCCTGGGTAACGCTCGGTGTCCGTTAGCTCGCCGTAAGTGAAGGGCCTTGGACGCTGTTGCAGCTGAAGCTGTGGCTTCTCACGCATGAAGCCAGGCGGTCCCCGTATATACTCTCGTACCTAGAATTCAATCGACACTTAGCGGGCTTTCGTCGACTTTCACATTTCCTTTATAATCAACTTGTAAATCGTTCGAACCTCTCTCGCGTCGATGGGGTTTCTCGGTCCCCTGAGTTCCCTCGCAGCCATGGGAACCTCGTAAAAGCTCCTCGGTCTTGGTCTATCGGAGTCTTGCGCTTGAATTGGCCTATCGGGTGATGATTGATAATGAGTGGCTCTAGTAGGCCTTGACCTCGACCTGTAATCATCGACATCCTCGTCCAAGGGTGCTGGTGGTACATGATGATGCGGCATTGCGCCACGGCGAATCAAACGCTCGTGCAACTGCTGCTGACTCGCCGACGCTGTCAATGGCTGATGATGGTTGACGAATTGTTGCTGTCGACTTGGACGCTGCACGTGTTGTGCCTGGACTGGTGGCTCCTCGTGCGACTGAGATGATTGCCGCGATACTGGCTCTGACCTGCAAATGAAATATCGTCTTAGTTACGAGTTTGTTTTCAAGGAGAAAACATTTTCGGTTTGGTCATATCGTTACGAGGATCTTTCTTTCGCGCTTCTCGCACTGTGAGTCAAATGAAAAGTCCGATCTCATATACAAGAGAAAGGAAATTCACGATGCTTGCCAGTGATATTGATTTATCTGGCTTGTGATTACATCTGCGAATCGAACGCAAGTCAAGATATATGGAAAAAATATAGGCGTACAAATTACTCCGACGGGGCATTAGACGCGCCCCGGTATGAACGCGCGGCACACATTTTCAAGGCGAACTTTCGCGCGAACCTCGTTTTCTCAATACATGACGTATTAATCCGGGACCACACGTGCTAATTTCTCGGAGTGATTATGACAATGGCAGTCTAATCTAAGATGGGTGTGGCTTGGACTCGTGTGGACCCATATTTTTCTCGCATTAGAAAGCTCATCGGACGCGAACGGAATTCGGAGGAATTTTATCGACTGCACATTAAGCTTCAACTATTTATACTGATTGGATTTTTATAGACGATGACACACTTTTGCCTTGACATTGGAATGTTTGTACGAGGTTCGTTTTAATTTATGCGTAATTAGTTGCCGATGCCGGATGAAATAGATTTTCATCGAGAGCTGTTTTAACGAGAACATTAATCTTTGATTGATTGTGGAAAATGCATAAATAATCAATTAGCAAATGTGCATAGCTCTTGAAAATCTTCGTTCGGCCAATGATGAATGAAAAATCTCTGTGAGCAACACGAGAATGAATTTGATCGAGCATGACACTTTTCATGAACTGAGAGACATCTCAGCTCGGGGATTCAATAGAAAACATTAAATTATTTATGGTAATATTGAGGATCATGTCATGTAGCTAGCTAATAACTGGAATATCTATTAAACACTTTCTTGCTTTATAAATGCCAAACTAAAAGGATATTTTTCTTTTTGCACACTCTTCCAAGAACATTTTTGCCCTTTGGATTAGATTGTCATTCTTCGAACAGTAGCGACGAAACAGAGTAAGACCTTTGCATTGCCATTATAATTTATGCAATATTGTAATCACCAATTACATTATGTTATGATTAGAAAAAACTCCGATCAAACTTAAGCAATACAAGGAAAACCACAAGCTTACAATAAACATCAATTCACAAAACTGAAATAATTTATGCTTTAAATTATCCTACAGTCATAGTAAGTTGGTTGTATAATAAGAAGCGTTTCAAGCGTTGTGCATTCAGTTTCTGATAGCGCGAGTGTAGTTGTGTATCTTGCTATTGTTTAATTTAACATGAAAGCATCATTTGCTCTGTTTGGAGTTATCTGCATTGTCGGCGTTTACTTTGCGAGTCGTTAGATGCTTGATTAATTTCATGTCTAATCGATGTCGAATATTTTCATATTGTACAAACGCATGAATAAAAAATTTTTAGTAGCTCTGTTTATGTCAACGTGTAACTGGATTTAATGTAAATTGACTCCAGAGCAGATTGCAAAATCAAAGCAGAAATAGATGAATGCGCTCGCGTCAACAACATCGGCGAGGGTAAATGCGGTAGTTCGATAGAACTATAAAATTTAATTTAATTTATGTAATCCGAATATTATATAAATTTCATTTATGTAATTTCAATTGGAAATTTCAGACGTATTCAATGACTTGAAGGCTGGCAAAGATCCGGCTCCAAGCAGAGATTTGGATTGTTTCTCAGCCTGCGTGCTCAAGCACAATGAAGTCGTAAGCGTCAAATAATAACGACTCAATCGAACCTTTGTGACAGATGCGATTAATCAATTTATTTTATACAGATGAATGCCGAGGGATCTACCAATCACAAACCTAATGAATCGGATGTTACTAAACAATGCAAAGATTTGAGTACGAATTCTTTTGTCATTTTTTCACTACTTATTAAAATAGTCGACAAATAATGATTTTTCTGTTTACAGGTGCCAAGAATGACTGCGATACCGTTGACAAAATCATGTCTGGTCTTCATAAAAACAATCTTATTCCGAAGATATAATCTGATAGTCCCCAAAATTTTAACGAATCGATAAAATCTACTCCATGATAAATTAAGAGCTAATTTTAACAATTTTACTCAGTGTTTTTATAAAATAGATATGTACTTAGTTGTATTAAGTAAACTTCAGCAGCGTGAACACCGTAAAATTTCAAAATCATTCTTGACTGAATAATAAATCTTCCATTCAGTTACGAAAGTAGCTCTGACAAGGTCGATTAAAATTTACCATAATTTACAATATCGTTAAAGTGGTGTATGGTATGAATTATAGCACTTGAGTTATGTTTTAAAAATTAAAAGTATATACCTAAAATATTGTATAATTTATACATAATACTAAAATAATTAAAAAATCAAACTGCGAAAACTAGACAAATTAATTTATCGTAAATTTCGCATTTATACTCTCATTTTACGATAAGGAATCTAACTTCATAAATAAGTTTTTATGTTTGCCGTTATTTTCGTAATTGTTCAAATTTGTAAAAGCTTCGGTAGAATATTGGTAACACTTTCATAAAACAGTAAAGTCATCGAACCGTGGAATTTACGTAAATTATTATCTTTTGATTATAACAAAGTCACAAGCTGTTGATAATATAAAATCATGCATTGAAAAAGTTCGTGCATTCAATTTATGATAGCTCAAGTAGTGCTGTGATTCTAGCAATTGCTTAATAATCACTAATTCATGAAAGTTTCATTTGCTCTGCTTGCACTTATCTGCATCGTTCGCGTTGTAAGTCTCTAAGCCAATTATTGTATTCCTTTCCATCCAAGTTCACATTGGAATTTGAACGCACGTTCATAAATTCATGAATGTTAGATTACATATAAATTGTCAAGTTAATAGAATGTAGGATACGCTCATAACGTTCAGATAGAACAAATGGCTAAGGATTCAACTTGGAGCAATAAATTTAAATTATTCCTTAGCTTACGGGTTGAAAAGTACTAAAATTATGACAATTTTAGTACTATATTCAATTCAGTACTGAAAGCACCGAAATTATTGACAAATAAAATAATAGCTAAAATCTTTCTTTGAAGAGACATTGATAATTTTTTATGTTATTCGGATGAGTACCGATGGATCTGTTAATTACAGACCGGATGACTTGGGTAATCTAACAACTCCCAAGATTATAATAGATCAGTCAAACCTACTTCGTATTTAAAAAAATATAATTTAGTTTTACTTTTACTATTTTCTTAAGCTGAAACATACTTAGTTTTACTATTATTATTAATCTATTATATAGACGGCGGCTTAAACGAGTTCAATCCTACCAAAATGATTTTTATAAGAACAGTGAAATATTATTTTGCTAATTTTGTTTAATGGCGAAAGCAATGCAATATAAATTAGTAATGTACCGGCCATTAGAATTCCGGGGAGCAAGGGAAAAAGCATCGTTTACAAACCTGTGTACTGGTCTATTATCGGTGCGTCCGTTGATTTTGGCAACGATCGGCCTCGTAATGATTGCCTCCCTCTCCATCTGCCTGAACATCTCTTTAGCATCGTGAAATCGCTCTCTGGGACTTGTCGGACTCTCACCAGGCGCCAATCTCGGTTGATATTGCGGACTCGGTGATCTTTGTCTAAGCTCAGCGCTCTTCCTCATCCTGTTGTTCACGTTATTGTTGTTATTGTTGTTGTTGTTGTTTTTGTTGTTGTTGTTCGTGATCGGCGAAGTGCCGCGTATGGGTTTGATCAGGGGCGACGCGGGTGCAATCACGCGTTCCGGGCTGCGTGGCAATCGCGGCAAAGAAACGCTCGTTGGTTCCCGATCGATCAAATAATCCGGCTCCTCAACCGCTGCTCCCCAGTCTTCGTCTGTGGAACAAAAACAAATTATCTTTAATTACTTCGGTATCCAGGCCTGCAGCTGCTGATAATCATAATAATAATGATCGACGCAAGGCGAAAATCACCGCGTCATCCTCTCTCTCGGGGTCATGGCACGTAGCACATCTCTCTCGCGGTGAATCGAGAGCGTGAGAGAAGCATTAGCGACACACGGCCCCCGTAGAGAAATGTAGCGAAGGAGGCCAGAGAAAGAGAGAAGGACTCTTTTACAGGACGTGCGGAAAACGCAGAGAGCCGAGCTCACGTGCACACACAAACACACGCGCGCGCAGCCCTCTGTGTGCATGGGTTGCCTCCAAGGAAGGCAGGTGTAATCACAAAGGCAATATATTTTGACAAGTGGCAATATGCGCGTAGATTTTTATATGCAAAGATGTCGTGGTAATTTCAAAGGTATACCAAGAATATTTTCGTATTAATTTTTCTAGGATACTTACGAATGAATAATCGTATCAATTACACCGTTAAATTTATTACCGATCGAATGAAATTATATTGATTTCACATTCGACGTGTATCTACCTATAATTAAGATTATGTGAAGTATCGTCGATTAAAATATCGTTACTCAAATTCAGGTCACGAAAGTATCATCGATCACGAACCTCGTTCACTTAATAGCAATCGGAGCAACAATACAAAAGCTTCGATTGCATCAGTCATGAATAAACTTCGCTGATGAATTGTCAATTATAAGAGATGAAGAAAAAGAGAAAAAAAAATCCCGGAATTATCCTTGTTGTTAGCCGAGATTTAATACCGACAAGGAGGCGTGAAGTCAGTTATGACATTGATCCATTATGGGATGAATCAATCACTGGGTATAATAGGTAATCGATTTCGCGTAATTTTTCTAATCTTATATGAGAATTTTCCCTCATTATGGTGGCTGCCGACAGCAGAAGCGTTATAGGTCACTGCCAAGTGAACGTGGAAGAAAAGAAGAGAGGCTAACTGTAATAATCCTAACTCTTGCGCTGAATGCCTATGCAAATTATTCAATTTCCTCTCTTACTACGCATAGCTACTGTGAAAACTAGTAGAATGAAAATAGATATGTGTGCACTTCGAGAAAATGAAACGTTGCGTCCTTCAGCTTGTTCAGTGTGCACGTAAGCAATGATGCATTACTCAACTTTCTTTTTAGGGAATTCTATTGTGTTATATTTTCTTGATCAAGCAAGTAAGTTTGTAAACTATGAAGCAAATATTGATTCTTATCTACCGTTTCTCGTTAATTTTTCATATCTCACGACAGCTCTTTCAAGTTCAATTTTATGGCTCTGTCAAAAAGCAATGAAAGGAAGGACAAAGAATCAACATTCACCCGAAAGTGGGTTTCCAATACGCAATAGTCATTCGTGACTCAGACACCGTCTATATTTCTAAAAATTTCCGTTGTCATTTGACCGCAAACGATCTGAAAGAATGGAACAAGTTGCATGAAATGAAAAGATTATATACGCAGGTGACCGGACAATGCACCTTGCAAATTGAGTACATCACATCGCCCGAGGCTGTGGGCCGAGAATGCGGAAAGCACGAATTTACGATTCTTCCGATTCGGTCCCTTTCACGAAAAGTGTGACGAGTTCGCGTATGTGGCATTTTGTGTGCACGCACATCTACGTGCATTTTTCTTTTAAGATTGCAAATCATGGCTACTCGTTTTCTTCTCTCTATGAGCTCCAGTCGATATGAAAATTTAACCGTCTGCATCTCTAAAGTCTATTACCGTTGTATCGGATTACGAGAGCCACACGTTGAAGGACGCTGAGGAAATGAAGATGCCTCTCTTTGACTTTACCTTACGAGATGCCTTTCTTAACAATCGACGATAAATCGTTTGTTTCAAATTTAAATATCAATTGTTCTGATATATATATATATATATATATATATATATATATATATATAGAATACCTTCTCTCTCTCTCTCTCTCTCTCTCTCTCTCTCTCTCTCTCTCTCTCTCTCTCTCTCTCTCTCTCTCTCTCTCTCTCTCTCTCTCTAAAAAAAAGTGCTGTGATGTCATTGAACGCACAATTCTTTCGAAACTCACAAACTGAGTTGTAACTTTAGAATCTTGTCCATACAAAACAGAACGATATTTTTCTCATCTTGTCAAACGAAAATAACCAGCGAAAAATTCCCATCAAGCGGAAACGCCAAAAACCTTGTCAAGCACTAAATTATTAATAAACATTTTATATTAGCATACTGGTACATTAACTTTATCTCAAAAAAGTATCCGCTTACCATTTACCAAAGAAAAGGAAAAAGATGGTAACGAACAACCTATACGCTAAACTGAAGGAAACGCGCATCGTTGCTTTTGGCCTCGAAATTTGATTTTTAAGTGATTTTATGCTAATCCGATTGTTTCGGTTGTAGCACATGCGACGTTACGCAATTGTCTAATAAATTTTCGCTGATACGCGTGCGTCACTCGACTTTCCAGCAGGTAATGCCACATTCATACGGAGATTATCGTACGGATGATTTAAGATTTGAAAATGGTCCCTGTCTGAATTACATTGTTTAGTTTGGTGGCAGCGAATGAGAACGGAAAGAATGCTCGAATAGCCTGTTTGCCCAGCAAGTTAAAAGAGTTGTTATTTTTCTGGTTTGGATTTATATAAGTTTCGATTAGATAGCGATGGAATGCTTGTAATAGGTTTTTACGCGTTCAAAGCTTTCCACGAGACTGAGAAATAATAAAAAAATTACATTTTTCGTCGCATCTGTTTTCTTTTCTTTTTTTTTTTTGTTTTAAGAAGCTTGCAGATTATTATTCACGATGAAACAATTACACGCAAATAACATCTCGTAGTCGACGAATTGAAATACCTGCGAAGTCTCGCGGTAATTCCCAGTCGCTAACGAGACTTTCGCAAAATCGATCCCAAGAGCGTCTCGCGTGCAAAATCGAGCGTACCTTTTCAGGAGCTCGCGCCTGGATTTCTTCATCGGTCGATCGTTACGTGCGCCGTGGTATGCAACGGGACACGATGGCACGTGCTAATGTTTCTACGGATGTTTGTCTTTTTGCAATTTCGTCGACGCGTTCTGCTAACGAAAATTCCGTTTGAAAATTGCTACTTTTTTTCTCCAGCCGGATGCCCGAGAGAGAGAAAATTGTTATTGAGTTTACAACTGCGTACACAGTGTTGTTTGTTGTGCTTGGTAAGAATTTGAGTTTGCGTGACGTTGACGTGAAAAATATAATTATTCCATTGGTTATTGCTGTCAGCTCTTATTTACCTTAACTATTCGCGCAAGAAAAATGAGAAAAATTGAAATGACATTAACGATAAAGAAATAAACGAAAACGTTCAGACACACGCATTCTTTCAAAGCTAAATACCGATCTTTCGATCGAAATACGATGTTTTAACAACCACCAGAGCGAATTCCATCAGCAATTCATTCGCTGACATTACCAAAACCATGCACGCGCGTACTTGACAAATGAGCATAGCTTGAGCAACTTTTGCCTGTCGCCGCGTGCGCGAAAATTCTTGCGTGGCAATGTGGCAAGTCGACGCTGTAAGTGCATCGATTATCAATCCGCCGCAGACGAAATCGATTTATAAAAGTTATTCGTTACGGTCTGGATGATTTTCAACGAACCGCGACGTAGTATTACAAATTTTCACGGCTTTGTTTCAACGGCACTTCGATCAACCGAAATATATATATATATATATATATATATATATATATATATATATATATGCGATTCTGCCTTTATTCGTTGCTGCACATTGCATAAATTTAATGTTCGAGATAATTTGATGAATATTTATATTATTGCGTCTTCATTTTCATAGCGTGCAGTTTTCATTTCAACATCGAGAAAAACAATATCGCGTTTATGTTTAGGGGGCATCGATCAGTTTAACGCCTTCGCGCGCGTGCACTCGCGGATTTTTTTCGAATTATTATTAATTATTTTCCGATTGATCGTGCCACATGTAAATTATTGCGCAAGCGCGGCTATGTTAATAATGGGGTATTAAGAATATTTACGATGCATATGATTCTGATAATTATCTTGCGCGGCAATATAAAATAGCTATGACGATCGTTACAATAAATGTTGAGTTTTTCGTAGTAATCAGCAGTGAAACGTGTATTTGCATATTACACAACTAAGAGGTTCTTTAGAAGCTACATTGTAGCCTTTAATAATGATTTATAAGTTACCGAATGACGCGAATGGCATCTGTCAACTGGTACGAAATCCACAACAAATTCGAGAAAATGATGAGCGCGCAGAAGTAGACCTGCAGGCCTTCTTACCTGTTGCCTTTACTAATCGTTAAACTTACCGCAAAAGGCCATCGACGAACTTGCGACGAACGAGCCGCGCGTATGTGTATATATACGTTTGACTTAACGGTACCCACGCGCCGCGCCAACGACGAGCCAAGGCGCGTAGCAGGTGCCTCCACATGCTCGCGCCTTCGACATCCTGCTCTCTTAGCTCTTCCGGCTCACTGGCTCACTACCTCTTCGAATGCTTGTTATTGGCACAAAGAGACGATTTGACTAATTTTCAATCGTCTACGGAGAGAAAAACGATGCGAGAGCTGAATACCAAAAGCAACGACACTTTTTCTCATTGAGCATGTTCTTCGTGTACTACACTCAAGAAAGAGAGACAGACAGAATGCATTATGCCGCGAAGAAAGCCCTATGCCAAAAAGAAAGAGAAAAACGAGGGCCCGAAAGTGATATCGAGTTGCGCGGTCAAGTGAATAATCCATAAATTAACATTTGAACACCAAACACACACGCGCGCGCAGTATGTAGGTCAGTCCTTGGAAAACAAAAAAGTCAGTTCTCTCTCTATACACAAACGATCGATACAATCAAAAAGCCGTTCATTGTCAAAGCCGCGAGATGCTTTTTCTCAGTTTTCCCGTTGCTGTCCTCTGTGCGCGCGCCTATATACGTATATATCGGCGTTCCATTTCTCGCTTTACGATCTCGAAATCTTTGAAAAGCACAAAGAACAGTTTTCTCATGCCGATTATTATTCGCGCACGCTGAGCTTTTCCAACCAATTAGCCAGTCTATTTTTCGCCGACTTTGGATAATGATGGAGGTTTTGCATGTCGTTATTAGTCGGCTATTTTTTGTGGCTATTCTTTATGGCGCGAAGGAGATTGTCTATTCAATTCTCGAGCACTCTTTTTTGGCGTCGCGTGGCTCGAAATACTTAGCAGGATATTAGCTATTAAAATTCAATTATAAAAGTCTTGAAAGTCGATTATTTCTCATCCACCTACACCGAAGGTATACTGCCAATAAATCAGCCATCCAATTAACATCATAGTGAGTAAATCGCTCGCGGTTCGTTCGACGTTGCACAAATTTCATCGTCGTAACATTCTCGACACGCGCGCGAACAAAAAAAAATACAAAAGAAAAAAACATTGCATTTGAAAACGTTTGCGTACTCGCGTTGTTCTTCGAGTTTAATTGCGCGTTACAGTTCTCTCTCTTCCTTCCGCGTCGAAACTATCGTGGGAAGAGGAGGAAGGCTTTTCGCGTGGCGACGACGACGATGACTTTCACCTAAAAGATAAGCGATCGATTTCTCGTTTTTTCCTTGCGTGCAAAACTGTTGCTCAATACGTTTGTAATTGCATAGAGTCCGAGCGGAGAGGGGCTTCATTGGCTATGGTGCGCGCGTAAAGAATGTTTAACTTCCGCTTTCTTTTTTCCTTTCCGAGATGTTTTGTAAGCGCTGCCGTTAGATGCTTCGATGATAAGTAATGTTTACTGCGAATGGAACAGATTGTTATGTATTGGTATCTGCCTTATTTTTTCGGTTGATGTAATCCGCGAGAAGTTTATTTTTTGTTAGAAAAGGCTCGATCGCATCAGGTGAAATAACAATTATCAAACACTTCCTGCAATCGTGGTGATTGCCAATTAAACAAGGAACTCTTCATTTCCGTGCCATTCAAAACACTCAAAAAGTAAATAAATAAATAAATAAATAAATAAAGAGTGAGTCTGCGAGAGAGGCAGATAAGAATTGTATTGGCCGTGAAAAAGAGTATTATATATATAAAGTTGTGAGATCTAATCGTACACAGAGCGCGGACACTTTCTACGTGCGCCCTATTAACCTACTTTCGGACACTAAGTACGATCAAGTTGGTATTTACACGACGGCGACGAGGAAGCAAGTCAGCAAAAATGTCAGGGTCGAATGTCGCTTTTGTTTCCTGGGTAAGGACAACTTTGTCCGTGACTGGTTTCTCATTTCTAACACGTACGTAGTACGCGGTTAATTGCACTCGAGCGGCTGATTGTTTTTTGGAGAGAGTAGCGCGAGATCCAGTAGCTACACGTATCTCTCGCTGTAATTACGAGGCTAATGAGTGTGCGAAGCCAGGCAGTGGCGATCGATTTTCTCTCGAGAAAAAAACCGACTGACTCACCCGACGACGAATCCCTAGTTGGTCTGGTTGGCCTAGGACCCAATGGATGGTGATGCCCTTGATAGGGTGGCGGAGTTGCAGCACTGTCCGAACCAATGCCACTACTGGCAGCGCTACGCGTGCCAGCGCCTACGACGACACTGTTGCCGTTGGCCGTGGTCGTGGTAGTGGTGGTGGTCGCTCCGTTCTGGCCGACTATCGTCTGATTGAGACAGCGTCGCAACTCGATACCCGTCAAGTTGCCACGGTGACGGTGCACGGTGTCGTAGTCGCGCGGTGGCAAGAGGATCGGTCCTGCATCGTTGTCCGTACCACGACCTGTGCACCAGACAGTTGCTCCGTTATTGCGGCAACGCTAGAGAGTTTCGAAATTCAGAAGAGCATAGAACACGGGATGCGAGCCATGGCTCTCTTTGTCGGCTCGATCGCTGCTTAATGTGCTTTGCTGAGCTGCATTCTCGCGCGACGTTGACGGTCACAGCTGCGCCTTGTGAGAAAGTAAAAGTGGAACGCGCGGCGGCGCAGGGCAATTGCCAGGGGAAACCCCATTGAACTTCGCACTCACCCAGCTTAGCCCTCAACTCGGCGGCCAAAGACTCGTAGATGCTGGTCGACTGAATGGGCGCAATGTGTCTCAGTTCGGCGCTGCCTTCGCTCGACTCGCTCTCTCGAGTACTCCGACCATCGCTGCCAAGGTTGCTACGCAGTCTCGTGTCCAGAGAACCAAGCCGCGCCAGACTATCCGAGTGCGACGCAAGGATTTTCAATTGCCCACCGAGCAGCTCGGCTGTCTCTACTGAGTCGCATCTGCGCGGAAAACCGGAAATCAATCTCCGACATACTTCCATGGTCTCTCGCGTGCACACGATGCGTTGGACTTTACCTGTAGGCGTGAACGTGAACGGGATTGTTGGTCGCGGGGTTGGGCAGTAAGAGCGCGGCTGCGACAATGTCCTCGCGCAGCACCGCCGCGAGAACTACGTGACCTGGCACTAATTGCTTCACTGCCGAACGCGTCGAGCCACCGGGATGAATCGTCTGAATGATTTTCAAACCTTTGCTGCTCACCTATTAAACAGATCAGCGCATTTCCATTTTTCAATTCCAATTTCATTCGCAAAATTGTGCATCAAGATCATCGCGATCAGGATTCGCATTCATATGCAAGTACCCGTGTTAGAAAGTATCGGCAATTAAAATGATAAAAATCCAAGTTGATTCCGGCGAGAGAGCGTTTGATTTATTCGTTAGCGCGCCGCTGAAAATTTTCAGGCAACCAGTTGAATGAAAAAAAAAATCACCTTTTCCTCCAATTAAATTCGAGCGGGCGCTTCGAAAGGCATTAGCCTGGAATGATTTTATTGGGTAACCGCGTGTGCGAGAGCTAATTAACCGAGGATGCTCCTACGTAATGTTACAATTTTCTCGTTTCAGACTTTAATTCAATCGATTAACACGGCGCTATTTCACATTGCGTTCGCGTTTGAATCTGATACTCGCGACTCTCCGCGCAAAGCCAGGCACCGAACGGTCTCTATGTTCACATATAGCATTGATTTGAGTGGCCAAACGCGTCTCGCCCTCTACAATACGCTTTCACCGGAAAAATTTGCGCGAAAAAAGCTACGACAGCTTTTACAAATTCGAAAAACACGCACCCGCGAGAGAAAGGATAAAGAAGTTCCCAGCAATGTAAAAATCGTCGCCCGGGGGCCTTTTAGCAAAACTTTCACGCGTCTAAGATCTCGGCAGCGCACGTGCTCGCGCTCACGCGAGATGGACCTCGAAATGCCTTCGATGAAAGTTGCACTTTTACGTAACGTCGCATATTAACACACAACTTCCCCTTCGGCGAACGAGAAAAATGAGGCTTTTGCTGTCGTCGAACTGCATTTTTCTTTTAATTGTTGCCTAATCACGAAGGCGACGGCAGACGAATTTCCGGGGGAGAGACCACTGATTATAGACTCTTGCAATTTTTCGCGGTCTTAAAAACATCCATATTTCATGGCGTAATTGGCGTTTTAGAAGGATTTCGTTAGGCTTTTCATTTTCGAGACGCGGTGTATCTTTCTGCCGTCGTATAATTTGACGTTTTATTTAATTGTCCTTGCCTCTGCTGTGCAAAATCAAAAGCCGCTAATGGTTAGTTGGGAAGTAACGTCACGCGTGCTATTAAGCAAAAATGAAAAGTAAAAGTTAGATGTCAAAATTTCTCTATAATTATTCAAATTAACTGTTGTATCTTCGTCGACGTATAGATTGTTCGGCAACTATACACCAATTTTTTGTTTCTTCGGTGTACGAGTGAATACATAGATCCAATTGCATAATCGTAGTATGATTGATTCATCAAGTCAACGTAGAAAAAAAAAATACTTATCATTGGAAGCACACAATCCGATAATTCGAAAGCTGATTTGCATTCCTAAAAGGTTCAATTCGCAACTGCTTAAAAGAATCTCATTACCATATTACAATCTAACGATCATCAAATCGCCTGTAAATATCAGCTCGACCCACATTCAAGTAGAGAAACCTGTTTATATTTCCGAATAACTCTGAGTCACATTCGTCTTCCAGTGCTTTTTCGGCAATATTTTCTTTTTCGCGCGCGCCTCGTTGAATATGCCGAGGTAGATCGTCGCGACAAAAGGGAAGCTCGACGATTATACACACTACCGTTATGTATTTCCTTATTCCCGGCGCGTGCGTGCGCGCGTTGACGTTCGCATTGTACCGTTGCCCCGCGAGCGACAATATCAATTCATTAGCGCGTCAACATTGCGCGCCGCTTAGTTGCAATTGGACTAATTGTCCTCAATTCTTCTTTTCCTGTGCGGCTCGCTCTGCCTAATTATTTCGCGAGGCAGGTGTCGCGTGCGGCGCAGGTATTTAGAGCTGCGCAAGACCAGACGGAACGGGTTTTTCGCCCATCTTTCGAAATTAATCGCGGGACGCTAATGGATAAGCAGCGAGCAGCGAGGATTCGACGAAAAGGCGAATAATGGAGCGAGAAGCAAGGGGGAAAGGAGAAAAAAAAAAGGTAGAAGAAATAGCAAGTTCGCAATTTTCCGAGCAAGCGCGTGCACGAATGCGGCGCGTCGCATGCGCAATTTGACTGCGAAACTGCCGGTGTCGCGTCGCGTCAAACGAGACGCAAAGCTTTCGCGACTTTCGCCTCTCCTCCGTGTCGGCGGCGCGACATCGATACGGATTATTGTGTCGTAACAGCTGCCACGCGAGCAAACATGGCGCGCCTGAACGTCCCGTGCCTCGTCCACTGTGCCTACACGCGCCTTCCTCTTTTCGATTGGGAGAAAGGCTCGCCGAGACGGACTTAATTCTTCCTTCACGAAAGTTGCACTGTTCACTTCTAGGCTATCGCGATTTGTTGCTTGCTCCTCATTTCCGATGCGCCTGGTTGAAGTCTCCGGAAACGCCGCAGATATGATTTCAATGCCGAGCAGCCGCTCGGAAGCGGGGATACAGCATTTTCTACGGTACCTCGTCGTATTAAACTTGACGCTCTGCGTCGATCGCGTCAATTAGTCGCCGAAGAATCATCCGCTCGGGAGAGCGCCGCCGAGGTCGTTCGTAGACAGATTACTAAAGCGCCTCCATTGCGAATGCGAACGTAACTCGGTGTTCTGCCAATAAGAGATGATGAACTGCGCGGCGCATTATGTAAAATGCATTATCGTCCGGCCGTCGCCATCGTCCGATGCGGGAATCCAATCAACTGTCGATTTGCTTTCATTACCGGAGCAGTGCAGAGAAAACAAAGCAACGAGACTGTGCTTTTACGCTCAATTATGCGCCTTCATTATGACAATTTCACGCTCATTTGCCGCGTGTGCGCGCCTCGAGCAGCCCCGTTCGTTCCTTTAACGGCGTCGCGCAAGCGGAATCGCGCGCTCTGCGTCTTCCGTGTCTTTCTCCTTTCTTTTATCGATCGGATGGCGCGCCGTGCTTCCACCCTCGGTTTCTCAAAGTAACATTTGTTTTCTGAAAACGAAGGACGGCTGTGCGGCGCGGCGGTCAACAGTGGAGCGCGGCGCGACGAGGTAAAAGGAAAGGAAAGGCCGCGCGAGTGCATCGACCGTTTTCACCTGCCCCCTTCGGTCGGACGTTGCGGTACACACCAGTTGATTCTTCGATCGATTATCGCGCGCGCGCGCGCGTACACGAAAATGTCTCGTAGAAAGCCCTCGCGCCGCCGTTACGCAGCCGTGCTGCGTCGCAGACGGTAAATGCCTGTGCGTAAGCACGCTCCTCGTGCCTTGCCGAATTCGACCGCTAGATCAACGATTATTTATGTTTTCCGCCTGCGACTCGCGGGACTTGCTTTCGTCGATTCTTCGCGGAGGTGTCCTCTTTCTCTCCGCGCACACGAAAGCGAGGCGAGGCAAGAAAACCGCGCCAACCCGGACAATTCGAAACTTCTTTTATTTTTTATATAGAGACGTTACGCGGGAATTTTAGAAAGCCGGCAAAAGAGTCATCATCTCGCATTCGCGCGTTTATATTGAGTTTTGTAGGCCGACGCAATTTTGCCGATTTCTATACGATAATTTTACAATCCCGCGCGCAGCCATCGCGCGTTTAGCTCTTTTCTTTTTTATCGAAATTGACAAGCTCGTCTGCCATACGCGTACTTTTCACACGGAGCACCGTGCGTATGTGCAGTTAAGTAATTATCGTCGTCGCTGCGGAGAAGATTCCTTTTTTCTTATGAATATTAGAGGAGAAATCCGCGACACTGGTGCAAGGCGTCACGCGTGTGCTATTTTTCTTTTGCGTGCGCCTTAAAATTGATTATTTTTTTTCTTTTTTTTCTCTCATTTTACGGTATGTTGCGAATCGAGCATTCGGTTATTATAAAGCGTGGGAATTTGACGTTTAGCGAGTAAACGACCGCACAGCATCATAAACGTGAAAGCTAATTATACGAAATTACGTTTATTATTCAATTTGAACCATTGATTTGACGTTCCTCGCGTGATAAATAGAAGTTGTAAATAATTAGGCTTTTTCGCGTAAACAGCCTTTGCTTTTTCCTTTATAGTCGATCGTTCACCCGATAAAAGACCACTTTCTTTGAAAACAGCTCCATTAAGGCAGGAGACAATACGACGCATTTTTTTATCATGGCAGTAAAGAGCCTGGCTAACTTTAGCGCAGCAAACCGAAAACACCAGTCGAATAATTTATACACGCGCGCACTGCTCGGCATTCCGAAAACGAAGAGGCGTTCTTTTTTTCGAGAAGGCTCACTTTTCCTGCCTCGTTATCTTCACTGCGCGTATACAAGTGTGTTTATTTACCGTGAGCGCGCGATAACGAAGGATAAAAAGAAAAAAGAAAAATCCATCGCCGCGCGCGTATACTAATCCAACGCGTTGCTACCGAGAAACGACTGGTATTTGGGCTAAAGTGATAAATTTGCGCGCGCGAACGTTCGCCTTTTGCGTGTCGCACCTGGCTTTCACTGCGTATGCATGGTCAGTGTGGGCCGCCTGGCTTTTTTCCTCTTCTCTTCGCGAAAGCGTTCCGCGGCGAATTCGGCACGCGAAAAGCTTACCTGCAGCGTGACCTTGAAAGGCTCCTGAAGACGTTCGCGCTCCAGGAGGTAATCTATGGCACCGGGCATCGCGTCGACGCCTTTCGCCTCCCTCGCGCCCAAATACCAGACGTAGTACGAGCTTTTCTTGACATCCTTGCCGCTTCTCCCGCGCAGGGCCATCACTTGCTGCAACACACGAAAGCAAAAGAAGGTCAACGGGCGTCGTTGTTCGTGGCTAGGGCGCGAAGCGACAAATCGGCTCGCTCGTTAATAGTACATCGAGGAAGTGGAGCGAGTCCGATGCGCGCGCGGCGGACGGGCGCTTCGACGCCGAGTGTTCTCCGAGTCGTTGGCGAGCGTGCGTGAGCACGCGCGCGGCATTTTACAAAGTTGCGAATACCGCGAGCGAAAATTTCTCACGTTGCCCACCGTCGAAGCGTCGAACAATGATGCGTGACAAAATCATGAAAAGATCTTCCGCAACGGCCCACGGTATAATAAGAGGGTAAATCTCCTAGCGAAAGAAAGAGAAGAAAGAGCGCTTTAATGAACTTTGATAAGAAAAAAAAAAAGAACAGAGTTATAATACAGCGACGCTTTGCTAATTTCCATGGCGCGTTATTCGAAAAGACCTCATTCTCATAAATCCGCGACACGTATGCATATGTAAATCCGAGGATAGTGCATTAAGCAATTTTCTTCCTACAATAACGCGATGCATGAAAAATCGTAATAAACGCGTGGCCTTTCCCATGAGCGCCTTTATTTTCTCTGAGAAAGAGAGGTTGGCCGATAAAAAAAAAAGCCTTGACCATTGAACCTCTTGGACTTTCACGCGACGATGATCTCTCGACGTGCGGCAATGAAAGAATTAAGCTTGCGGATTCGGGCGAGACGAGAGCGTCGATTTTCGTTTTTCACGATAATCGCTCGGATAATTATGTACTCTTGCTCCGCGCTTGCCTCGTAAAGTCATTCGACTGACTGCCTTTAAGCGATACCGATGCTCGGCGAAGTAGCATCCCATGTTTTTTCCTCGATGGTTAGGTTTTTCATTTGTTCGTTTCGGCGTTCGGCTCGTCCGGAGGGCAGAATCGGATCTTTCGCGTGAATTCAGAGAATTTTCTTTCCCTTGTCTTTCCGCAAGTCGGCACACGTTTCTCTACGTGGTATCGACCGTCTGATACGCAAAGTAAACTTACGACTGATAAGATGAACGACTTATGCAAGCTGTCGGAATATCCTATCTGCGTTATGTCACTGATCTCAGCGTAAAAACAAGCTCCGACAAAAGCCGAAAATAACGAAAAATCCAATGGCACGCACACCGACTGACCAGAAAGCAATCGGATTGGAAGAAGCTGATGGTCTTACTGAAAAGTCCCGATATAAATCTGGCTTATTAAACGCGCGGTTGTGTGAGAACATCAAGCACCAATCGCGGACGTACACACGCACACAGACTCGCGCGTTCGTTTAACCTCGCTACCTGAATCTCTCTCGCGCGAGCGCGGCTATTATGTTTCCCTCCGCTCTCGTAGAGCCCAGAGAAACGGAGTGCTTCACCGTTCTCTAAGATCTCTGCTACTCCATATATCTCGAGCGTGGCTTTACGGTTTCGTCGCTGTTTCGTAAAGACCAAACAAAAAAAAAGGAAAAAACCAAGATGAAGAAAAAAATTACGGCACTCTGCTTTCCGACGCGCTCGTATCCACTTTCAGCTTATCTCGCGTTCGCAGATCAATGCGCTCGTGGTTAATTCATTAACTCAACGCGCATTCGCGATCGCGAAGCAAGGTAAACCAGAAATTGATTGGAGCGCGGCGGTGTCATTAATTAACCGTGAAAAAGCATCCGATAGCCCGGTGCGACGATCGACGAGGGTGCGTCTAACGGCCGCTCGCGAACGCGCGCAACGCAACACTTGTTGCTCGTCCGTTCTAGCAAGGGAGGTGGGGAGGGAGAAAGGACCTTGGTCAAGGTTGACTCTTCGGGCTCGTTACGCAACGCGTGTCGCACAAAGGCGCAGGAAAGCGCGCCGATTGATTAGCCCCTAATTTTCTTTTGCAATCGCGTGCGAAAATGCCTTCGCAGCCCGATAGCTCTATCGCGACCCATCGGTTTTTCGAGTCTCCCCGCGGAGTACTCCTGCACTTTACGGTTCATCGACCTCTTCTTCCCCGCACGGAGCTTAGCGCGACGAAAACTAGATCTGCAGTTTCGTTCAATTGTCCGTTGGCGAAGAGATTTTTTTTCACGGCCACTCGGCTCCCACCGACAAAGTAGGCGACCGCATCGCAATAGGTAAACAATAAACGAGAACGCATTCTAAATCTTCGCAATCGCGACGGACAAGTAAGCGTATCGATAAGAACAGAAACCTCATCAACAACCCAATCAAACTGCATCGGGGGAGAGAGAGAAAAGAGGGCCATTACCATCAAAACTAGGATATTAGAATAAAAGGAAACGCGACCCGAGCAACGTAGTAAAAACTGGAGAAGAAGCAGCGAACCAGTGGTCCGCTGCTTCTTCTCTAGCGATCGAAGGAAAACAAGGGAAAAGCACATGTGAATTACAATAGAAAAACCATGGCAAGAGTCACGCACGCACTGTAGAGTTGAGCGAAGCTGTATACAGTGCGCAACTGCATCGCAACAGGTAGGCAAGGTGAAGCAGCGCAGCTCCGTTGTTGCTCTAGTAAAGAGAGAGAGAGAGAGAGACAGAGCGAGAAACTGCTCGCTCGCACGCTCTATGGCGAGAGCGAGGAAAAAAGGGCCGTAAAGTCAAATGGAAAAGGAAAAATCGGGCGTTGCGCGCGATACCGTTAACGACACTCACTTCAACGTCACATTTCGGCAAATCATCGCGACAGCATCTCGCACTGTGAAACTCACCCGTGACAGAGAGAGCAGCAGCAGCTCTGACAGCAAAAAGATGAGTGAGAGAGAGAGAGAGAGAGAGAGAGAAAGAGGAGAGTCGGCGGCGAGTCGCACACGAATGGAACACTGATCGCGGTGGCTTCGCGCCCTTGTCACAGGAAGGCGAAGACGAAGAGTGGCTGGTGAGGCGACGACAACGACGACGACGCCATCACGCGACGACGAACCCGCAGCGACTGGCGAAAGGAAGACGCCGAGAGCGCGCTCGCTCGCTCGCTCGCTCGCTCGCTCTCGCCCGTTGCCCACCACGTCGGAGGAACGAACGCTCTTTTTTAACTCGAGTGGGTGGGAGAGCCAGAGACAGGCAGCGAGCAGCTCTCTCGAAGGAGAGTGTACACGCCACACCTTGTAGCACGCTCGGGACCCTATAGTCTCTGCCGGAGCGCGATCGTTCTTTTTATCTGCGCGCACGCACCTGATGGCGATGTACCTCGCTCGCTCCCCGGTACAGGCGAAAGTGATGTTTCGCTCTTCTTCGCGGGGAGTCATTTTTGGCCCATTGCCTTTTTTCATGGCGGGACGGCTTTTCCTTGGTCTCCCTCGCTGGACCAATCTATCATACTGTTTTATATACGGAACGAGAAAAGTGCTAACGGGACTGTTGCGCAAATGTTGTTATTGATATTATGAAATGCGCGGGGTGTTGAAAACCATCGCACGGCTTGTTACATACCATTATCACAGCGACAAATCTATAATCGCGCCAAACTTTTTACACACAGCCATAGTGTAAAATTGAGCATGACTTGTATTTCCGCGAATTTCAGTTGCGAATTATCCACTCGCTTCGTACTCCGAGGTGCCGAGCCCGCCGACCGGCGAACGTCGAACCGCGCTTGCCGATCGTTTAATCGCGCGAAAAAAAAAATTGGTTTGGCGCGACCGAATCAAGAATCGAGTTAAAGTTCGCCGGCGCAGAGACGTAACCGCGTGCTTGAGCGCAGAGTAGTGGCACGGATTCCGTCCTGGATTTCGCGAGGTGCTTTCGCCTGCGCTGCGCGCAGGCATCACAGGCCAAGTGCACAGACAAGAAGACGACGACGACGACGACTATCTCTTTGCGCCACAGAGATATACCCCCTTCTCTTTTGCAAATGTGTATATATAGATATACACACGAGCACCTTGCCTTTCTTTCGTGTTAAGGAGACTCGGACGAGTATGTACGGCGGCTCTTTCTCTCCCATCGCATCGTATGGCTTTTATATTTTTGGTAATTGTGGTTATTCAATCGATCGATCGATTCCTTGGCATAATGTACGCGAGCAACGGTTTATTGGTGAAATTGCGTTATGGTTGTGATTTATATTTTGTGTCTTTTCATTTTCAAAATACTTTATCCTTTCAAAGTATAAATGTCGATTAAATTAATAAAATCAAAATAAATTTCTCTTAGAAAAGAAAAAAATATTTTTTTTATTTGAATGTTATTACCTTGTTACCCCCACGGTATCTCATCTTTTTTTCAACAAGTCCGTCGGAAACAAAGCTCGAATTAATTGCAACGTTTATCTATTTTTCACCGGATGTAAGCCCTACCGAATCGCCATTTAGGTTTGGAACGAATAAAAAAATATAAAATGAAAGTATTATCGTCGATTCTTTCTCGTTGAAGAAAAAAGAAAATTCGTTTAGAAAGCCACGGTTCAATTTTCTCAGCGTAAAACGCAAGCTCGCGTGCAAAAACAGAAGTAACAAAAGTAACTGGAAACGTATAACTTCGCCAGAAGGGAAAGAAACAATACCAATCCGTCGTACATCGAATATAATTAGCACGCGCGGCTTATAAAATCTCACACTTGTGTTGTTACGTAATGACTTAAGAAATGAAATTGTACCAGTGCATTTCGTTTTGGTACTCCAGGAATCCACGGATACGTAACCATTTTACCAATTTCCAACTCACGACAATGCGCGATTCCGTATACACGTGTAAGCCCTTGTATGCTCTCTCTCTCTCTCTCTCTCTCTCTCTCTCTCTCTCTCTCTCTCTCTCTTACACACACAGCGGAGATACTCCTAATTCTCACGCACACGTAACTCGTCGCCTCCTCTCTTTCACTTCTTCTTACTGTGGCCGTATTTTTGAATGATGATATTTTCGCTTTACTTGCGGAGAGAGGTCCTTTTGTTCGGCTGTAATTTTCGTTCCTTCTTTTTTGATCCTGTCAAAGGAGCTTGTTTGCGGCATTTTTCAACTTGATAGAGTGATCAGGCGAGTAGATTCTTTTTCGCGGTAAGTGATTTGGCTGTCGGAGAAATGATTTATTTTTATTAACAGTCACTTCTTACTTTCATCAGAAGCTAATTACTGTCCCTATAAATAAATAAAAACTACTATTCGGGTACCATATCGCACAAAAAGTTTCGAACTGCCGCACTTTAATGTGTAACACAAAGGATCAACGTGAATTATCACTTAAGAATGAAGAAAAATTACAGCCAAGGCCATCTTAGACAAAACGGAAAAAATTAGGATAGACATTAAAAAGTCGTAATAGTAGCACGAGACCTCCGAAAAAAATGTTGCAACATTACATTTTGGAACCCACGTGCGAATGCGCAATAACTCGATTCGCTTAAGAGATAAACTAGATCAGCGTCACGCTTGGCTTTCGAGACATTGGTCTTAATTACGGGATACATATAATGTATATCGCATGGACTTTCAGTAATGGCATAAATTTACTCAACTCGCGCGCGGTTCGAATTCGCGAGAATATTTATGAATGATGAAGCTTGGCAAGACGATTACACTGTACAACGTCCGTTTAACATTAATAAGTATATCACGTATAGATAAATCGAGTGCAAACTCGCTCTGATTTATGGGAAATATGTTGTAATATCGTATCAACTTCAATTTCTCGTCTCGCGCGCCGCGTTGCGGATTTAACTTTTGACGTGATGTTTTATGAAAAGAAAAACTTTCCAACCTAATGAATTGCTTCCGCCAATAATAAAACATCATAATTAAGTCGGAGCTTTATAATAAGAGACACACAGTGCATTTTATCCATTTGCTTTATCGCGAATGATTATTATATTACCGCTTGGGGAAATGTTTTCCATGTATGCGCGATAAGTGCGAATGCTTTTTCTTAGGCCGATGATATTGTGGCTGGACAATAAAATGCTAAAACTTCAGTACACTTTTTTTTGCCCTAATTAGATACTTTGGTCATTAGTTCGGAAACCAGCGGCAGTTCTCTGTTGCTCTAGTTAAAGGTACTTTTAATAGATTCTGGGATTTTTCACCGTATAAAAGTTTCATTGCGCGTGAAATTAAAACTTCTTCCCGCGAGCAAATCGCACATCCTTTCAAGCTCCAGCTGTTCTCTCCCTTTACAGATATGCGAAAAGGCACTTTCGCTGGTAGCAAAAAAGGAGGCTTGAAAAAATTTTTGATTTTCGACATTTCTTTGAGATTTCCTTGAGATCGTGGCTACAATATGATCGGAAGAATTGATATTCCGTGTTTTTGAATGGGATTCGCGTGAAATTTCTTCCGAAATATTCATGATTCGAACATCACGGTGGGCGCTGAGGTTTCTTTAAAAAAGTCAAGGAAACGAAATAATTCGTAATGTAGAAACATAATCCGAAATCCGCTGATCAGAGGTACATTTTAACGTAAAGGCTGAAATTCACAAGCAATCGCACTCGAATATTCAATAACACTGAATTTGTTGCATTTTTAACAAAATGCTCATACAAACCCCAATAAAAGTGATCCAACGGTCCCTCAAAACCAATAGGTTCCAAGACACGCATAAACAAAGAAGCAAAAGCGCGTGCGCCCAACGGTTTCGAGTCGTGTAAACGTGTGCGCACGTTTTATGCGCGCTCGCATTTTACGGGCATGCACTTCTCCGAAAGAGCGCAGGTGCTCTCACTTCTCTTCTCTCTCTCCCTGCGCGGGAGAGCCTCAAAGTGTGTAAGTACGTGCAAGCGCAAAGAGGCAGAAGTAAAGGAGAGACCGCGCCGCTGCCGAAAGAATGCGAGTAGCCGAGCAAGCCAGACATCAGAAAAAAGAAACAGCCCGGCGCTCGCGCGTTCGTTCGTGTGTGTGTGTGTGTGTGTGTGTGTGTGTGTGTGTGTGTGTGTGTGTGTGTGTGTGTGTGTGTGTGTGTGTGTGGAGACTATTATGTGCGACGTCGAATAAAAAATGGAGCTCGTCCAAGGTTTAATAAGCTGTCGATGAATTGTATCGGCTTAAAAATGTGAAAGGCAAGCGGCGGAAATTCTTGGAGCTGCAGTCGGCCGAAGAAAAATTTTCATAACGATGCGAGTGCAGCAAGGACAAATTATCCGGCCTACGCATCGTAAATAATTCTAAATTGAAGCTAATCACCTACCGATAACTCTTGAATCGAATGAGTCACGCCAGTCTCCCACTTCAATCCGGCAGAAGAGGAACAAGAAAAAAATCTTGGGCAGATTACAAATCGAAGCGTAGCCCGTCGAACGGAGCGTAGGTAGAGCCAATTACGATGACCACGACTCGCGAGGGAATGCGATCTTATCGTCGTAATTTTCCCTCTGCTCCACCGAAAACAATCTCGTCGCCTAATTAGCAATATAATCCCTCGCACGAGCAACGGACGAACCGAGCGCTCGACCTCGAGACAAAGTGCGTCATCGGACGCCCGAGCGAGGGTAGATATGGCATGCTAATGAGACGCTTCGTTGCGCGTAATGATGCAACGTTTACAAAAAAAAAAAACCAGTCTCGATTGTTTCGGATAAGCTGTAAAAAGAGATGAAAAGGAAAGATAGAACGAGAATAGCGATAGGACGATGAGCGACAATACAATCGAACACTTTTAGATTCGTTCTTCAGCGACTAATACGCGATGACGCTGGCTGCCGCGATCATTTCCTTTTCGCGTCGAGCATCGTGTGCAGGCGCGCTGTTCGGCTGTCAGCGAGCGACGACTTCCATCCAAATGATCATTAATCAAACGAAACTGCGCTCGAGCCTTTAGCGGAGAACAGGTTTTCTGGCAAGGCGGAAAAGGCGAAAAAACAAAACTTTCATTTCTGTCTCACGAGTGTATAGCTAGTGCATAAACCACAAATCGACGCTGGACTGTCACTTTTCTCTCTCTCTCTCTCTCTCTTTCTCTCGCTCATCAAAGAGTATCGAAACTTACAAGGCGGCAATGACTCGAAAAATTGACAAAGACATAGTGCGAACAATTAGA